AAAAACAATAAATGTATTACATATCTATTAAAAATATGTATAGCAGTACAAAAAATGGTTTTAGGTGAAGGTTAAAAAATACTCTAGCACTTCTGCTGACAGCCATCTTTTTATATATATTAAAAATACAAGTCTACATTTTTGGAATGCATTTACAAATATATGTAAAAAATATATGTTAAAATTACTTTTTTATATGTTAACAAAAATATGAAGAATATATTTTAAAAATGTATATTTTTTAAAAAAAAAATTTTAAATACATTCTTCAGATATTTTTTAACATATAAAAAAGTAATTTTAATGTATATTTTTACATATATTTGTAAATGCATTCCAAAAATGTAGATTTGTATTTTTAAAGACATACAGTATATTTGAAATGTATTTTTACCAATATTTTTCATATATTTTGTAATAAAACACATTTCAACATGCAATAAATATATATATATATATATATATATATATATATATATATATATTTATATGAAATATATTGAATAAAGCCAAAATTGTATTTTAGATATATGGCAATAAATTTGGGAAGAATATTTTTAAAATATATTTCAAATATATGTTTCTTCCATATGGGTTGTGGCATATAGCAGATGAGCATTTACTTCCTGGAATCTGTCTGCCCCTAGCTCAGGCATGCAAGCAGAAGAGTGTGCTTACCTGAGAAAGACCCCTCCTTCAAATGAAAGAAAAAAAATGCCCATGAAGACTCCAGGGATGTATGACATTGTTTTGGTCTAGGCCAGAAACCAGAAAGCAACTGAATAAATGTTAAAAAGAAAAAGTTTAAAACAAGTAAATATAGTAGACCTTCCTATTATTTACTAAGACTAGCAGCATAAGGGCAATTTGGTGATTTGAGTTGCTTATTTGAGTTGACATATTTGCAATAGCTACTCCCAAACACATCCACTGTGACCCCCTGCTGTCTCCCATGTACCGAAATACGAAAATAAATTACTCTACTAAAATGTTCCTCACAGCCACCAATCAGATTTAAAGCTGCTCTAGAATTTTTAAACTGATTGGTTATACCAGGAGAGTGAAGATAAAAATAGAAAGCAAGCTTCAGTACACTGAGAATCAGCAAGTGAGGTGTTCTCTGGATTAAAAAGCATTGGATTACAGATAAATCGCATCATCTCAAAGCAACACAGAATACTAACAAAAGAATTGGGATGGATCGGTGCACTATAGCAACAGCAGTTCTCTGTATAAATTTCAAAATGCAAATTTTCAATTTTAACCAGGTGTGTTTTAAAATTATTCTATTGTACCAGAAAAATATCATGCTGGCATGTTTTCAGCTTTCAGAACCCACAATGGTCAGAGTATACTTCAGTTATGAAGCCAAATTGTATGCTTTTTGTAGTGCTTTTTTGTAAAATTAAAGTAAATTAAGTGAACTTTATCTCAATTGCCATGTTTGCTGAATAATTTAAATGAGTCTGAGTGGTTTCACTTATTGATTGGACTTACTCCTCATTCCTGGCTTTGGTATAGCTCCAGCAGACAAATTCAACAAAAGGCCTCTGTGCATAAATTATGTTTTGACATAATTGTTTCTTTCCTACTATTCAATAAAGACATTATGATGGTAAAAACAAATTGTAAAAAAACTATCATCCATTAGTGTGACAATAATGAGATATGACCAGCCCCAAACTGTGTGCCGCCCTCATTTCCCCCAAAATGTTTATTCCCAAGAGGTCGAATGACTGCTGTGAACATCCATACGGTACATTTGAATATTCAAATTCCGCCTCATAATGTTTGTATATTATCCTTAGATGCCACTAAGGCATTTGATAGTGTGGAGTGGCCATATTTGTGGGGGGGCTGGATAGAGAATTGTTTACATCTTAGGTTTGCATTGCGATCATTCACCTGTTGTTTATAGTGCAAAAATTTATTGTGCATAGATGGATATCCAAGGCCCCCAAGACCCCCAACCAGGGGCAGACTGACAACTCATGGGGGCCCCCGGCAATAGGGGATCATGGGGGCCCCTGTGTCCTTGCCCAAACTCAAAAAAAAGCCTATGAAAAAAAGTACCAGGGGCATCTCATGGGGCCCCCTACTGACCCTGGGCCCTCGGGCAGTGCCCGAGTTTCCAAATGGTCAGTCCGCTCTTGCCCCCAACTCACTCCATATGAGTTAATGCAGTAAACGAAGTCGTACAAAAAGAAAATATGGTATACCAACATAAATTTATAAACATATGGGACAAATGGTTGAATACTAGAGGTGGTTCTTCTACAATTAGTTAGAGAGCGATTACTAGGTATGGAATAATAAAACACAGTATATTAGTAATATCTGAATAAAGCGTAAGATTTAATTTTGGTCAAAAGAGTCAATAAGGTTATAGGGGAAATAGTGTTGGTAACATACAGAGATATCAAGTGTATAATTAGAAGATTGAGGGAATGTTTATACTTAGTGAGTTATTATAGATAAATTTGTTTATTGTTTTATGTTTATTTTGATTATAATGCACTAGGCGTGTATGGTAATTATTATGATAGCTGGAGACAATTAAAACCGTAATTGTAATTGTTGGTGGTTGTAAAGTGGTCAATAAAGACAGAAGAATTGTAAAAATATTATCATCCACTAGTGTGACAATAATGAGATCTGACAAGCCCCAAACTGTGTGTTGCCCTCATTTCCCCCAATATGTGCAAGTCGGTAACAGAAATGGTCAGATTTAAATCTCATGTCCAGGGGCAGACTGACCATTTTGGAAACTCGGGCACTGCCCGCAGGCCCGGGGTCAGTAGGGGGCCCCATGAAATGCCCTTGGTACCTTTTTCATAAGCTTTTTTGAGTTTGGGCAAGGACACAGGGGCCCCATGATCCCCTATTGCCCAGGGACCCCATGAGTTGTCAGTCCACTTCTGCTCATGTCTGTGGTGGGCAGCCAGAGAAGTTGACATTTTTGAATAGACAGAACCCGCTTTGACCCATTTAGAGGGAATGCAGCAGCAGTGTGCTAAAGCTTCATTTGCCGAGTCTTCAAAAGACTCCTTAGTCCTCATGCACACTTGTCGTTTTTACAGCGGCTGTTTTTGGCTTTTGACGTTTTTTTTCTACAGCTAGTAAACCCCCCAGCATGTTATCTTATGCGTCCATGCACACATAGACTGTAATCAATGTTTTTTGGCAGGATAAAAGACCGAGGACTAGTGGGTTTTCTAAGGAAAAAACGCTCTAACGCTGCTGAAAAACGTGGCAAAATGCGGTAAAAACACCACAAACCGGTGTTTTTGGACTTTTTTTGCCCCCCCCCAATTTCTTTTTTTTGGTAACAAAATGCTAACAAACGCAATCATGGAAAAATGTGGGAAAATGTTGCTAATCGCAGCAAAATGCCACTAAACGCTAATGCAAAAACGCTAAGAAAAGCTGGAAGACTCACATTTTTAATGTGACTTTACACAGCTAAAGTTACCAGCTTTACCAAAACATCCAGTGTACATGAGGGCTAATGCAGCCTTGTCATAAATAACTAGTCTGTAAAACAGTCTGGAGGAAAGTTTTAGAAAATACACATTCTGTGTGTGTTTTTTTTTAACTACCAAAGACAAATTCCATTCATACTGCATCATTTTTACTGTGATTGCATCACCATCATAAAAAAAGGTTACATTAATGTACGGGAAGATGCCTATTATTTAGGCACTAACCACATTTTTATTACAAGGTTCAGGAGGTTAGTAAAACACAATAGCTCTCCTAAGCAAAATATGCATAAGGTTTCTTTCACACCACATGTTTGGAGCGGGTTAGCTGCACTTTCTCATAGAGTTACTGTATATTGTGTCCCGCATGTTTGGTTTGCTTTCTGAAAGCACACCAAAGATGCATCATGCAGGGTTTTTGGTGTGCTTTCAAAGAGTACACCAAACACATGGGACACAATATAACTCTTCGGGAAAGTATAGATAACCTGCACACATGGGTAAGCTGCCCTGCTGCTACATTTCAGGAAAAACGCACCACGGCAGTGTGAAAGAGCTCTAAGTTCCATAAATCGTAATTTAAAGTGTTACTAAACCCACAACAGTAAAATCAGTCTCTATGTATATAGAAAACCTTTTCTTCAAACCACTTAGTCCCCTTCCTTAAGTACAAAATGACCTAAATAAATTCAAAAAAGTCCACCACAACAGTCCACACTATTATTAGGTCTTCAAGCGTTGAAAAATGTCCCATTCATCACTTCAAATCCAAGAAAAAAAGAACTCAAAAGTGCATTAACTTTTAACAACAATCAAATATTGTGATACCATGCAAGAGAACACTTGTGAGGAAAAAGAGAGGGAGAAAAAAAAAAAAAAATTATTTAAATAAATAAATCACTACTTTTAGTGAATCTCAAGTGTAAAAATTGCTATAAATAAATAAGGTGAATACACCTACACAGCCCACTCATGGGGTGAAATCCACAGCAAATGACTAAGCTTGTGATATATGTGCAAAAAGTGCCAACACTCTAGCAAATAAATGCTCAACTTGTGAGTATATATACTAATCCACAATCCAAATAAGTGCCACCACTCTGTTAGGGTTAAATACTATTACCCTCTTTCAGCTCAGATAGGCATTTCAAATACTCCGGGGTACAACAGCTTTCCCCTTGCGTATAACTCAATCCATTGTTCCCCGATCATTCAAAGAAATGAACCTCCATCCTGTTCCAGCATAGACATAGCTAAAACCAACAACAAAGATGGCCGCGCTGCTCTTTCCGGTTTTGCGTCTAACGTCATGTTCTGACGCGTTTCGTACTTCCGACTTCATCTCGAGGGATCTCTATATGCAGTAACGCATGCTTGTTATACTCACTGTGGAACCTAAGGGGTTAATCCTCTGCATTGTGTACAAATCCTGTTTGATCCTGACTTCTTTGTTTCTCCCCTTCTTCCAGTGTCTCCCTCTTATCTCCTGATAAGACATATCATGTGGAGACACTTCACATGCTCAATTTGGTGTGTATTGCTAGAGAGGTTTTTTTTTCTTGGAGAGTGCATGTGATCAGCACAGGGCCAATCAGCACTGTCCAGACAGAAGTCAGGGGTTCTGCATCCTCCTAAAGAAAACTCCTCCTACAAGCTTTAACCAGTGCAGAACACTGATAAAAGTCACAAGACTGCTCTAAACTGTCAATGAGAAAAGGTATTTAGCAGTTTATATTTACTAAAATAATTGCATTTCCATGTTCCGTGTACTGTGGGGGACCAGATATAGTGAATGCAGGGTCCTGGGTTTAGTAACACTTCAATTATGTGTGATATATTGGTTGTAGGATTGGGATACCTTGTCAGCTGGAAATATCAATATATTTTGAATAGCTGATAGCAAGGGTGTGTCCACTGAATTTTAATAAAATTACTCTTGAGTCCTTTCAGCACACCCCTCATAACCTTTTATTGGGTGTTAATTCGGTGATACCCTCTCCAAGGATTAGAAATAATGGCTTCATTCACAGCTCTGAAGCTCTCTCTTGACAATTGAAACTACTAAGGATACTGAAAAAGTCATGTTCCTGAAAGCCATTGACTCTGATAAATAAGATTGCAAGCGAACTGAACTCTGCACAGAACCAAAGACCAAGTTAACTTTGCTAAGTGTTTTTCACTTTTAATCCCATTTATTTTACTCTGTTTTCTTTTTTACTGTAAATATTTTATTGCACACTCTTTCTCTCCTTTCCATTAAAATTATATTTTCAAATCAATAAGCTGAATCTCTCAATGCTCTAATAAGAAATAAAAGAACTGTTACATTCCTGTCTAGGCGTGGCAACAAGTGTTACAGGCATTTCTTGCACCATCTTTCTCTCCTTTTCATTAAAATTATATTTTAAATCAATCTCTGAATGCTCTATTAGGACATAAAAGAACGTTCACCTCTGTGATAGACTATGCTAATTTAAAACTCTGTTACATTCCTGTCTGGGTGTGGCAACAAGTGTTACAGATAAATCTTAAGGTCTGAATTGCAACAACAAATGCTGGAAAAGGTGTGCATTTATGTTTAAACACGTGGTGGCAACTAGAGTATGTGTATAGGTTGACTGCTTGGTTGACTTGCCTCAGTGACAATCCACTTCAGTCTATTGGTACTAAGATTGTTGTCCAAGAACAGGCAAATCCCTGCACAGTGTGGGATCTGAAATTGTAATAATCACAATGGGTATTAGAAAACAAAACAAAACAAGAAAAAAATTAAAACAATTTGCAAAGCTATTTGTGCATACAATGCCTACTATTTGCACATAATTCTGTGTATTTACAGGCCCTGTTAAGATAGCATCATGCAGAAAGAACACATTAGACTTAATTCACAAAAGTATAATGCATGGATGATTTTCAATATTGTGTGTTATTTTCTTGTTATGATGGAAAATTGATTTTTAATTCCCTATAGGCATTAATTCCCTATAGGCATTACCTCCCAAATTAATGAATATCTATTACAATTTCTGCACAAATGTTAATGTATTGCTTTTTTGGCATTTTGACACAAAAAGTTGATTCACAAGGATTTTCATCAGGTTATTACTCATTAAATCAAAGGCATAATAGTTTTTAACATATCTACTTTTTAATTTATTATAGTCAGACTCAAGACTAAAAATACATTTCACATTTTCTTTTTTACTAGGAGGTGTTGCATGTTGATATTTTGCATTTGTTTTTTTGTTTTTTTGAGCCAGTAGGTAGAGCTTTAAGCCTCCTCAACTTCCACAGACAGCCATTTAGTTGACAAAAGAATTTTGTTTACATACTCAACAGCTCAAGTTGAAATGTACCTAGAGTAGTAGATTACTTCTACTAGTGCCTCAGTTCTTACCAGATAACTTACTATGGAATTTCAGTAAGACTAAAGCTGGCCATACACTGTCAGCCTATGGGACTAAATGAGAGAAATCTGAAGCATGTACAACCAGCTTAAAGTGATTCTAAGGTTGTAATTTTTTTTTTACATAACAAACATATCATTCTTACCTGCTTTGTGCAATGGTTTTGCAGAGAGCAGCTCCAATCTTCTTTTTGGGTCCTCTGACAGCAGTCCTGGTTCCTTCCCCCTGCCACGTGTCCCCAATAGCAAGCCTTTTGCTATGGGACACTTGAGCAGGTTCGCTCCTGTGCTGCGCCCGTGTGAATGAACATTGTCCATTCACCCACAGACTGCAGCTCGGCCTCGCTTCCTGCTTTATTCTCATTGGCTGTCATTGTGTGAGCCAGTGAGGCGAGAGAGACCTGGGAGAGCCGCAGCTCTCATGCACAATGCTGGATCGAGATGGGGGACTGAGGGGGAAGCTGCACCCAGAAGGAAACCAGAATGCATTAAGGTAAAAAACCTTCTGCCTAGAACCACTTTAATGGAGTCGCAGTGCAGGTGGCCACTGCTTTGCTTTCTATTGAGGTAAACCAAAATGCTTTGAAAATCCTTTGTCATTCATTAAATGTTTATTGTTAAAGAAAAGATTTAATATATGTATAATGGAAAAACAGATATAAATGAATAATTTAATGATACTTAGTAACATTAAAAATGAAACAATACAAACAAAATTGATGCAAAACTATTATAATACCCCTTAAAATACCCCTAGCTTCATGCTGATAACTGTATGTTTGTGTGGGGCGCCTGCTTAAGACAACAAGAAAAAGATCTTCTTAAGATAGTAAAAAAATAAAACAGTGGGCTAAATTCACTAAGCTGTAATGAAATGTATTTACCATAACAAGTACTACTTTCAGCAGTGTTGGCAAATGAGAACGGAAAGTAACAGTCACATCAAAAAGATTTGAAGAACATTAAGTAAATAGTTGCAGATCACATCACACTGTACTAGCAAATGACATAAAGCAGCAACAACAAATTATATCACACCAAAACAGAAGATTATATCACTCAGCAGGAATATTTTGGACTGCAGTATCACATTAAAGAAAAAGCATAAAATGATACCAAAGAAATGTATATTAACTAGAAACATCAATTTACCACGCAGCAAGTACATACTATTTGAGAGAGTAGCTCATCCCCAGCCTCCTCATGTGCCGCCTGTAGTATGAATACCACTACCTACTCCCCCCATGTGGAGCCCCTCTTAGCTTCTCTTTTATTGTCCTTCATATTCAGCCACAACAATCACCTACTAATGAAAAGCCCCCTTATACACCAACACCACTAATCCCCTTAAATGTGCAGTCCCTCTATATTCTATCAGGATCAGCCCCCCAAATGGAAAAAAACACTTTCAAATACATCCAGCATGCAGCCCCCATAATATGTAACCATTCTCAAATCTATTTCCCATTATAAATCCACTATACATTAATGATCAGTGTAAATGCTTACATTTTTATTGGTGGTCGAACTACAAAATAAAGAGGCTGCAAAATATACAGTAGCAGGGACGGACTGACCATTTGGAAACTCTGGCACTGCCCAAGGGCCCGGGGTCAGTAGGGGACCCCATGAGATGCCCCTGGTACCTTTTTAATAGGCTTTTTTGAGTTTGGGCAAGGACACAGGGGCCCCATGATCCCCTATTGCCCGGGGGCCCCATGAGTTGTCAGTCCGCCCCTGTACAGTAGTGTAAATGTAGTGTACAAGGCTAGGCTAGGCCCAAATTTACTAAGGACAAAGCGCAAAGGTTGCAGTTTTTCTAAAAGAATTAGGGTACTCAGTAGATAAAATAGTGTGAAATTGAACAGCAGCATACCAATTTAATTGGGGATAATATTCCTAACTGGTATATGCCTAACATTTGTTATCCATGGGGGACAGGGTGTGCTAAATGTGAGTGATACAATGTGAGGTGGCTGGGGTTTACAATGTACAATGAGATTTACAGATGGTCACTAACAAGTAAATGCTCTGTTTGAGTAACCTAAACTTAAAAAAAACCCTAATAACATAAAATACTCATGAAAAAGAAAACCCCAAAATACCAACAATGGTTAAAAGCCACTTTAAGGCTGCTTTGTTTCCCCCCCCCCCCTTTTATAGCGAGGAGGCTGGTTTATAGGAAATCGGGCAGAAGGGGGCGCCAATCTCAATGTAGAGGGTTAATAATTTATTGGTAACAAAAGGTGTAAAAAGTACTCACAAACGTAAGAAGTAATAAGGCATGGTAAATGGACTTTTATGTCATTTTTTCGCCATATCGCTATTACTTTTTTGGTCTTATTATCATTGTATTTTTCTATATACTTTTATTTCTTCTGTTTTATTCGCATTTTTCATTAACCATATTTAGATATTAATACGTGTGGTCCCCTCCCAGCGCTGATTTGTTCTTGTTCTGGTTTATCCGAAAGCCCTCTTATTGGCCCTTCCTAGCTTGCTCACCATAGTTTAAAGACTGTGCAGTGCAATATGGTTTAAACAAATTCTCCAAGAAGAATCTGTGCATAAGTATGCTGGGACCTCAAATTTCTGACTCATAGGATTCAACTCAAACCCAAGGTAGTAATGTACATGGACCTCATCCGAAGTGTTCAGTGTAATTACCCCTATTACATTAATGGTTAGTGTAAATGCCCCTGTTAAATTATTGGTCAGTGTAGAATTCCCCCCTTACATAGGTGGTCAGTGTAAATACCCTGTTAAATTGGTGATCGGTGGCCCTTGTGACGTCATCACCTGGGGGTGCTGGGTTGATGACATCACAAGGGAGTCACTCTGTGATGTCATCGGGGTGACCCTGCCCCTTAGTTTATTTAGCGGCAGGAGGCGGTGGAGCTATCATTCGACAGGAACCTTTGTCGTGCGTGGACCTCTTTTCTTTTTTTTTTCTGGGTCGGCAGCTGGTGTTCATCGTGATTGACACTGGATCTACTTTGGGAGACAATTTTTTTTGTTTTTTTTTTTTTTAGGAGGCTTTTGAATTGACTTTTTTGGTGAATGAGTAGGGGTACCCTATATTGATTCACAAGGGGGGCTGGGATCTGGAGGCCCCCTTGTTAAAGAGAGCTTTAAGATTCCGATAAGCCCCCCACCCACAGACCCCCACAGCCACCGCCCAGGGTTGTGGGGAAGATGCCCTTGTCCTTGTCAACATGGGGACAAAGTGCTTTGGGTGGAAGCCCCACTGCCCCAAAGCACCCCCCACATGTTGAGAGCATGTGGCCTGGTATGGTTCAGGAGGGGGGCACTCACTCATCCTGCCAGGTTGCAGGCTTGTATAAGGATCTGTTACGGATTTGGAGGGGATCCCCACGTTATTAAAAAAAAAAAGGCGTGGG